GAATCACCAGCTGGTGATCCACGGAACGGAGTTGTTCACTTACAGTAGAACGGAAACTTGACTACCACCGCCTAACCAACTGGGTCGCTGCAGCTGCATTGACTTGCACATGCATCAATGCAGGGACAGTGCAGCAGATCATTTTGCATCTCAGGTGTGAGTGGAGCTGTTAGTGTGGCAGTATCATTGTAAGAGATTATTTATCTCCTACCTGCCTCCTGCATGCCCGTGAATGGGCCGTATGGGTGGGTGATGGAGCAGCAAGTGTAGCTTCTATTTTTTTTCATGCAGGCACAGTCCCACGTCTTCTTCACATCTGCCCTCCGTCTTATCCATGGATCATACCATGCAACCCAGCGTAGCCATAAAAAAGTCCCCTGGCAAGCTGTTGCATGCATGCCTATAGTTTTATACGAATGATTGTGGTGGAACTTTTCATGCATATGCAATCGTGATTACGGTATATCAGCCATGCATTGTGGTGAATAAATTTGGACCGTTTCAAATTGGACAACAAAAACAGTGGTGCATATACTACAAGCTTCAGTACGATCCAAGCTCAATGTCACCTTTGTGCCTGAGATGTTTCATACAGCGCTGCAATCTTACCGTAGGTCAAAGCACAAGTTCATTCTACAATCTGCTTAGGCAAGCCTCATCAAGAAGCCCACTTGTCTACAGAACTTTCTTCAGTACAATCTCATGATCTCCAATACAGCACCATCATCAGCATACTCTCTTCCACCCACTCCCCATCTCTTAGCTGCCTCGCGGCAACAGTAGGGACCTCAGTTCTCACGATATTCCATGACCCTCGTGCCATCTAGGTCCAGGCTCTCAGACCCAATATTCGCCATCTCAACATTGCCCGATGGGTATTATTGGAGCAGATTGGACTAAGGTGCAATGCCTTACAGCTCCATCACACCGTAAGGTGCAATGCCTTACAGCTCCATCACACCGTAAGGTGCAATGCCTTACAGCTCCATCACACCGTAAGGTGCAATGCCTTACAGCTCCATCACACCATAAGGTGCAATGCCTTACAGCTCCATCACACCGTAAGGTGCAATGCCTTACAGCTCCATCACACCGTAAGGTGCAATGCCTTACAGCTCCATCACACCGTAAGGTGCAATGCCTTACAGCTCCATCACACCGTAAGGTGCAATGCCTTACAGCTCCATCACACCGTAAGGTGCAATGCCTTACAGCTCCATCACACCGTAAGGTGCAATGCCTTACAGCTCCATCACACCGTAAGGTGCAATGCCTTACAGCTCCATCACACCGTAAGGTGCAATGCCTTACAGCTCCATCACACCGTAAGGTGCAATGCCTTACAGCTCCATCACACCGTAAGGTGCAATGCCTTACAGCTCCATCACACCGTAAGGTGCAATGCCTTACAGCTCCATCACACCGTAAGGTGCAATGCCTTACAGCTCCATCACACCGTAAGGTGCAATGCCTTACAGCTCCATCACACCGTAAGGTGCAATGCCTTACAGCTCCATCACACCCTCAGCTCCATCAGCTCCTTGCAGATTTTACAAACATTACCCTCTCCTCTGAGAAGATATGTGTACACCCTGCACCCACACAGCCAGCAATTCATATGCAGCTCCCCTCATGCAACCACGCAAGACATACTCACCCCTGCACGTGCCCGTCGTTGCTGCTGCTGCGTGCCACTGCTGCTGCCCCTGCTGCTGCCCCTGCTGCTGTCACTGCTGCTGCGTGCCACTGCTGCTGCCCCTGCTGCTGCCCCTGCGACTGTCACTGCTGCTGCGTGCCACTGCTGCTGCCCTTGCTGCTGCCCCTGCTGCTGTCACTGCTGCTGCCACTGCTGCCACCGCTGCTGCCACCACTGCTGCTGCTACCACTGCAACCACCACTTCTGTTGCCACCCACCATACTCACCTCCCTCACTTCTCCCTTTCCCGCCCTTGTCCCCAGCTTCCCCCCCTCCCCTCCCCTTCCCCTTTTGCTCCGCCTCGCATTCCCCGTCAGCCCTGCTGATGAGCGTTTCCTCCTCCCATCATAAACAAAGAAAGCCAGGAAATTCCTATGCAGCTCCCCTCAAGCAGACAGTGGTCTGTTGCCCAGCCAGCCTTGCACCTTCTTCTGTCCACCTGCAAGGCACGAGCCAGTTGAGCATTCTCCAACGCTCTGCAGCATGCAAGTTGAGTCGTGCATAACCACCATTGCATGCCTCACTCCTACGCATACATGCCTCCCCTCACTCTTAACACCCCTTCCCTCCACGCCTCTCCTCAGTCTCCCCTAGACAGTCTCAGGCAACTCCTCCCTCACCTCACCTCCCTTTCCAACATCACTCCCTGCCACCCTACCTGCCTATCCGCCTGCGTACAGCAGCTTTCATAATCGTACCCCCTTCTGGCGGAAAGAGAGTTGTCAGCTTGGTCAGGGCAGTCAGCTGCTGCAGCCCATCATCCATGACTGCTGTTCCATTCAGCCAAAGTTATTCAAGCCTGGTCAGCCTCCCCACATGCACCATGCCGGCATCTGTCACACCCTTGCATTCACCAAGGCTAAACACTTTGAGAGAGAGCAGACCTGTCAAGTGTGCCAGACCAGCATCGGTCACCTTGGTCCCCCAGAGAAGGAGCGTCGTGAGATTGCTCAAGAACCCAATGCCTTCCAAGGCACTGTCTGAGATGTCTGCGTGTTGGAGGTTTAGCATCTCCAGCCATGGCAGCCTGTACAGGTGCTTGATGCCCTCTGCACTGAAGCCTGAGCTAGACTGCAAGTCAATTCTCGTCAGATGCGACATTGTGGACACATGGCCGAGCATATCGTCTGAGAGGCCACAGAGATTCTTGAGGTTCATAGATGACCTGTGTGATGCTGACTTGATTGCCTGGATGAAATGGGCGGGAAGAACATGACAAGGGGATGGGTGACCACAGCGATAAGGAGAACTAGCAAGCAACGCATGCCCTAACCTGCCATGCAGCCTCCCGGTCGCCTTTACTCCAGCTGATTTCCAACTCGATAATCAACTTCAGGTCTTGTATCATCTGCCGTTCCTCACAAGCCGCCAGTTCCTCCATGGCACGTGGCTGACTCAACTCCTGCACCTCCCTCCTCCACTCCTCCTCCCGTGCACACTCCGATGTCAATTCTTGCCGTCTCTTTCTAATTCTCCCTCTCAGGCCTCCTACATCTGACGCCCTACTGCTCTCAGCTATTTTCTGCTTGTATTTCGCCAACTCTCCTTTCACCACAGCCAACTCCCCTTTCACCACTTCCAACTCCCCTTTCACCACTTCCAACTCCCCCTTCACTACTGCGAACTGTCTGTCCCTTTCCTCCACCACATAAGTTGCCTCGTTCCTCTCCTCCACAGCAGTCAGCATGTGTCGCAGCTCATCCACCTCCCCCTTGTGTGCAGCCAGCTCCTCTCTCACTGCTGCCATGCCAGCACCGCCTCTTTGATCAACTCATTCACTGCTGCACCGATCGCTCTCTCAGCAGCCATATCATCCATCCACTCCTCTCGAACAGCCCTGACTGATCCCTGTGTTCAACTGCCAAAGCAGCTGACGAATAGAGAGTAGGGTTCTGTTAAGTGTGCTCGGAGAGAAGAGAAACGCACATGGAGATGAACGCACATGGAGACGAGAAAGAGGGAGGGTGAAGAATTCGCACTGAAGCAAAATCAAGCGCATGGGTGTGAGGAAAGGCGCAGGGCGAGTACGGAGAAGTAGGAAGAGACCAGATGACAAGATGGAGACATTGATTCAACTCATCTTTAAATGAAGCCGTGAGAGTTGATGCTTGATGCATTTACCTTCAATTCTTTCGGCAGCAGAACAAGGGGAGGCCAGGAGTAGGAGCAGAGGAGGCCAGGTGTCAGGAAGAGCAATGCGTGCTTATCTAGTTAGAAAAGCCAAGGCAGTGGGCTTATTTCCTTTCCAAGCCAAGGCAGTGGGCTTATTTCCTTTCCAAGCCAAGGCAGTGGGCTTATTTCCTGTCCAAGCCAAGGCAGTGGGCTTATTTCCTTTCCAAGCCAAGGCAGTGGGCTCATTTCCTTTCCAAGCCAAGGCAGTGGGCTTATTTCCTTTCAAAGCCAAGGCAGTGGGCGTATTTCATTTCCAAGCTTGTCTCCGTTCCAAGCAAGGGAGGGAAGAGTATTTTCAATTATTGAATAAATCGGAGCGAAAGCCAGCCAGGCAGGTAGGCATGGCATCCCCTCTGCATGAAACTGTTCTATCTTCCCTGAGCTGCTCTCAAAAGATATTTGAGTGTGACAAGGCACAGGTTCAAACACGTTGGGCTGTTTACAGTGCAGGGAAGGCCTTGCCCAGCCACCCTCTGTGCTCCAATCCCGTTGCCTCACCTCCACACGCCCTTCAATCTGTACATGGTAGCCACAGCCAATCCGAGTCAATCCACCATGGTACCGTAGAGTGCTGCAGTGCAGCAGCAGGCCACCCAGCCGAGCCAACAACCTTTGTGCAAGGAGCTGCCATCACGTTAATGCCCCTTTCCAGGCACAATATGCATGCATACATCCCTACTCCTCCTGTTTATACACAAACCAATCATAGGCTGCTCTAGCTGTACAAAGAGAACGACTTTCTAAACCAACTTACACACTCCCCCCTCCCCCTCATCCTCCTCCTTCCCCGCTGCAGTCACAGAGCAACACTCAGCATCAATGGGGCACCACACATCAAGCATTGGTCACCACCATCATTATCACACAACCAGCCCACACGGCAATTCTCTCAGCCAAGCTCTGTCTCAATACAGTCACATCCAGTACACTCCCAACCACGGATACAGTCACAACGAACGTGACATGCTGCGTCGGGTTGAGCCGGTGCGGCAGCAGCGTGAGGGGGACAGCCAGCCCCCGCCGCTCTTCACTGCTGTGGCTGCCGCTGCTGCGTCAGGCGAATCCTTTGTCCTCGACGTCCCTCTCAGACGGACAACTGCTGCTGCTGCTGCTACAAATGCTGCTACAGAAGCTGCTACAGCTGGTTACACACCTGCTGCTGCTGCTACAACCGGAGCAGCCAGACTGCAAGCCCAGGGGAGGAGGAGGAGGCAGCGAACGGTGATCATCGGGCCAGTCTCCCTGCAACGGGCCGCTGTAACCGCAGGGTACCAGCTGTCTCAGAAGCGCCCGAAAGGCCCCTGCAGCATGTGGTTCAAGAGAGTCTTCATAGTCAGAGTCAAGTCTGCTGCTGATTTCGCCGCCAGGGCCTCTCTCCCGTGCACCGCCACCGTTATTCTGCATTTACAGAAAGATTTGATGCTGCCTAAAGGGGTTATTTTCGGGCGGCAGCAGTCGTGCACGATACTCATGTCAGCGAAATGGCCTGGTTACACGGTGACGGGTGGTAACCATATGTATCCGGTGCTGCGCGTGTGGAACACTAGTAACTTCATGTCGCTGAACGTGAACTATCGCCTGCCGGTGACGGAGAGCAGCCCCGAGTGCACCATCGTGCCAGAGCTGGGCAAAGGCGTGACCTGCCCCGCCATCTCCATCCATCGGTCCTTCGGCGTGCAGATTGGCAAGGTCAGTCCCTCCCTTTTTTCCTTCTTTTCACCCTCCCTTGTCTTTCGCTGTAGAGAGCATTCCAGAGTCGAACACCCCGAACTTTGAATGCTTGCGTGCGGTGAGTTGAGTGTCGCTGAACATGAAATATCACGTGCCGGTGACAGAGAACACCACTAACTGGGCAAGGAGTGGCAGAGCTGGGCAAGGGAGTGGCAGAGCTGGGCAAGGGAGTGGCAGAGCTGGGCAAGGGAGTGGCAGAGCTGGGCAAGGGAGTGGCAGAGCTGGGCAAGGGAGTGGCAGAGCTGGGCAAGGGAGTGGCAGAGCTGGGCAAGGGAGTGGCAGAGCTGGGCAAGGAGTGGCAGAGCTGGGCAAGGGAGTGGCAAAGCTGGGCAAGGGAGTGGCAGAGCTGGGCAAGGAGTGGCAGAGCTGGGCAAGGGAGTGGCAGAGCTGGGCAAGGAGTGGCAGAGCTGGGCAAGGGAGTGGCAGAGCTGATCAAGGGAGTGGCAGAGCTGGGCAAGGAGTGGCAGAGCCGGGCAAGGAGTGGCGGAGCTGGGCAAGGAGTGGCAGAGCTGGGCAAGGGAGTGGCAGAGCTGGGCAAGGAGTGGCAGAGCTGGGCAAGGGAGTGGCAGAGCTGGGCAAGGGAGTGGCAGAGCTGGGCAAGGGAGTGGCAGAGCTGGGCAAGGGAGTGGCAGAGCTGGGCAAGGAGTGGCAGAGCTGGGCAAGGAATGGCAGAGCTGGGCAAGGGAGTGGCAGAGCTGGGCAAGGAGTGACAGAGCTGGGCAAGGGAGTGGCAGAGCTGGGCAAGGAGTGGCAGAGCTGGGCAACGGAGTGGCAGAGCTGGGCAAGGAGTGGCAGAGCTTGGCAAGGGAGTGGCAGAGCTGGACAGGGACTGGCAGAGCTGGGCAAGGAGTGGCAGAGCCAGGCAAGGAGTGGCAGAGCCAGGCAAGGAGTGGCGTGCCCCGCGACGCAGTCTTGATCCATCGATCATACGGCGTGCAGATTGACAAGGTGAGTCCCTCCATTCCATCTGCTTGTTGGGCTCCTTTCGCATGTCACGCTCCTTTCGCAAGTTCTCTTGTCTGGATACTTCCAGTGGACGTGGTGGTGAGATGATGGAGCACCATAAACTCGTCTCATCCCACACCCACACCCACATGTCTTCCAGCTCCTCATCTGTCCACGTGCCTCCACTCTCATCCCCATTCCCTCTCCTTCCCTTCCCCTCACAGCACCGTCTTTGGCCCAGTGGGCGTGCAATGGAGCATGGCCATGCCGCGTGCGGCTAGACTCACTAACGCTCACTGGAGTGGTTTCTCTCTCTTTTTCTCATCCCACACATCGTCTCAAGCTCCCGCGTGCCTCCAAGCTACCCCCTATCCCGTCTTCCTCTCTCCCCCCCAGGGCAACATCTTTGGGCGAGTGGACGTGCTACACAGCATGGACGTGCGCCTGGACTCACTCTCGGTCACCGGAGTGGCTTCCTTTATCAAGTCGCCTGGGGTGATCCGAGTGGCCCTGTGTGGGTACGAGCCGGGACTTCTCAAATCCAACGTTGTCATCTCCAACAATGAGGTGTACAAAGAGTGAGTGGGATGCTTCCCAGAGTCAACGGGAGTCAACCAGAGTCAATGAGATTGAAGGTCAGTGAATGGTCCTCACTGTTCCCCCTGCCCCCTTAACCTCTCTCTCCCCATTGCCCCCTTATCCTCACTCTCCCCCTGCCCTCCTGCCCCATGGTCTTGCACAGAGGAGCAGTGGGCACAGTAATAACAAACAACAACATCCATGGCTACATCTTCTCATCACCATGCTCTTTCCCGCTCTTTCCCTTAATCCACTCCCCCCTCTTTCCTTGCTTGAAGGGGTGAACACCCCCGTTGTGCTGCACAGGGGAGCAGAGGGCATAGCAGTCACCAGCATCTACATCCATGACCATTGTTATGCATGACAGCAACGAATGCATGCTTACTCGCATCATCTCCAATTGATCTCGTCATTTCCCCTCCGCACCCATCCCCTCCCCCCTCTCCTTATGTCAAATCCCCCCATTTGCCCCCTCTTCTCGTTTCGCCCTCTTTCGCTCTCTTTCCGTTGCCTGCAGGGGTGAACACTCTGACTGTCTTGCACAGGGGAGCGGCGTTAGGCATCACTATGACCAACAAGTACATTCACAACTACGTTATCGTTGGGATTCACTGCAGCGCTGCAGCGCCAATGTGCATTGCAGCGGTGACTGCATGCTCACTCGCATCAACTCCAGCCTTGTTTATTCTAACAACGGGGATCAAGTCTCGGCAAGGATTTACCACTGTCCTGGTGGTTGAACTCTCCTTTTCTATACTCTTCCCCCCTTCTTTCCCTTGACTGCAGGGGTGAACACTCCGATCCTCTTGCACTGGAGAGCAGTTGGTGTAACCGTCAGGAACAACTACGTGCGCGACTTCATATTCGCAGGGATCAAGTGCGGTGCCGACGTGCATTACAGCTTTGCGTGCATGCTCTCTCGCATCAACTCCAACCTTGTGGTTTCCTCTGGGAGGAACCTGAACGGGGATCACGACTCGGCTGGGATCTACTTCTACACGCACTGGTTCAGTCCCGGGAACTCGGCGCTGTGCAACTACGTGTTCAACGGCGACCACTGCTACTATCTGGACCATTGCACGTCAGGCGTGCTTGTCAGGGGAGGCGCGTGCGTGAATACGTATGACGGCATGAAAGTGAATAACGGCAAGCGGTGAGGAGGGACTGTGGAGATCCAGTGGTGTGCAATCATATGTTCAGTTGCGCCCTTTAGGGCCCCCTTTTCGTTTGCCTCAGCAGTTTCCTTTGCACAACAACTCCGGATGTCGTACTGCCCTGTATTGCTGTCCACCCCTTCCTCCCCCATCTTGACTGCAGGAACGTGATAAAGAACGTGGCGATGAAAGGCACGCGGAGATCGCTGGGGTGGACGTCATGCTTCACAGTGACCGTCAACAACTGCCTCAAAGACCCCGGCAACTACTGGGAGGCCATGCGCGTGAAATACTACAACAGCGCCCGCATCAACCACGTGAGTGAGAGCAGAGCAAGAAGTGAGCAAAGAGCACATGTCATAGCTTCGCATCCAACATGTGAGACGCCTCAAAAGTACCGAAAGGGACTACTGGGATGCAATGCAAGTGAAATACTACACAGCACCCATATCAACCGAGTACGTGAATGTCAGAATGTTATTCTTATGTTCTAGCCTGTAGTGGGGTGCTCTATAGCGAGTACAACCCTTCTAGGGTTTGCTATTTGTGTCCCCATTTCAGCTAGTTCATCCCTCTTTCTTCTTCTAACTTTTGACATGGTATCAGAGCAGGTCGATCCCTTTGGATCGATCCTGTGGGTGTGTCCCCACCTCGCTTCCGCTGCTACTTTTTTTTCCTCCCGCCGTGCGCCCCGAGGCGCGCGGCGGTTTTCTGCCCGCCGTGCGCCCCGAGGCGCGCGGCGGTTCTTTGCCCGCTGTGCGCCCCGAGGCGCGCGGCGGGCTTCTGCCCTACGTCGCGGCCCCGCCCCGACCGTCGCGGCCCCGCCCTTCGACGCGGCCCCGCTCTACGTCGCGGCCCCGCCCCGGCCCGTCGCCGCCCGTGCGCCTGCCCGGCTCGGCCCCGCCCTTCGTCGCGGCCCCGCCCCGGCCCGTCGCCGCCTGTGCGCCTGCCCGGCTCGGCCCCGCTCTACGTCGCGGCCCCGCCCCGGCCCGTCGCCGCCCGTGCGCCTGCCCGGCTCGGCCCCGCCCTACCTTTGCGGCCCCGCCCTATGTCGCGGCCCCGACCGTCGCGGCCCCGCCCCTCGTCGCGGCATCGGCCCCCCCCCCCCCCCCCCCCTCCCCCCTTTTCTCCCCTCCCTGCCATTTCCCGTCGCCCGTCGCAGCTCCTTCGGGGGCCGCAAGCGGCCCCCTCAGGTCGCCACGACGGACGACGGGAGGGGCGAGCTGTTGGGTGGCGGGTATGGGGGTGCTCGGTGGGCCTTCCTCCCTTTGCTCCTCCTCCTCCTCCGTCTCCCGCTGCTGCAGCTGTCGCTGAGGGGGGTGGTTGTGTGGGAGACTCGGGTTTAAGGTTTAAGGGGGGTGCGTGGGAGTGGAGCTAGGGGTGTATCAGCGGGTGTGTGTTGGGGGAGTTGGATAGTTAGGGAAGCTGCATGGAGGTTGCCGTCGTGTCGTCAGCAGCACCTGTATTCCGGGGGCTTCGCCCGGTAGCCCAGTCGTAGCCAGCTGTGCCAGCCGCCCGTGGGTCCGTTGCTCGTCTGCCGCTACTTTAGCCGCGGGGCCAGTTACTCCAGTAGTCCGGGGGCTTCGCCCGGTAGCCGCTGTGCCAGTGTGCCTCCTGTTGCCCGTGTGTCTGCAGCTTCAGCCGTCGCCTCCCAACTCCTCTCGCTCTCACTCCTCCTCCTCACTTGCCCGTTGTGACCACCACTAGCTTTGCTGATAATTGTGCACTTGAACTTGCTTCTTGAACTTGTGCTCAGAATGTGTGGTGACATTGTGATCCACCCTGAGCTTGTACTGCTTTGCTTGCTCTGCTGATTACACCCCACTTTGGCTATGGGGGTGTGTCAGAATGTTATTCTTATGTTCTAGCCTGTAGTGGGGTGCTCTATAGCGAGTACAACCCTTCTAGGGTTTGCTATTTGTGTCCCCATTTCAGCTAGTTCATCCCTCTTTCTTCTTCTAACTTTTGACAGTGAAGAGAGCTGTTACTACTGGGAGGCATCCCTATGAATATCTGTGCCAGTGGCTGTGCATATGGTGCCCCTGTGGTGGCGTTAAGCCTCGTTCCTCACACACAGCAACCGTATCAACTGGGTGTGTGAGAGTAAAGGAGCAGATGTTCAGCAGTGAGAGAGTGTGAAGTCACATGTGGTCAAACTTACCAAGTGATCACTGCTCCTCCACCCGTTGACCCCCCCTCCATATCATGTGTGCAATAAAAGCTAATGTATTCTTTTCCTTACCTCCCCCTTCGTCTCCCTTCTCTCCTCTCCTCTCTCCCCTCCCTCTCTCCCATCTCTCCCATCTCCTCTCTCTTTTCCCCCCCTCGTTATTGTCACATCCAGCTATGGCCTTCGATGAAGGACGTCTGCAAGGAAACATCGGCCAATGGCGGCGTGTCATGTAACCCGCCAGGTCAGCCAGGTGCTGACGTCACGGGAGCATGCAGCGGGCTGGGAACCGACAATCTCATCGACGTTGTCGCCGTCAACACCACCAACTATGGCCTCGACTGGAAGCACTGCGAGAATTTCACCGTTACGGAAAAGTTGAATCGGGAGATCAACATTTCGCTGAGTCAGCCTCTTGCTGCGGGCTTTCGGGATTACATAGGGAATGATTTGGGGCTGGAAAATACATCTGCAATTTTGAAGTTGCGGCCGGATTATTTGAGCTGCCCGTTGGGGCTCGCAGGACCAAGAAAGTTTTCGGAGAAGTCTTTTTATGAGGGTTACAACATCCTGATGCCAAGGGGGTTTCGGAAGGTTGTTACGATGGACATTAAGCATATTATAATTCAGGACTTGATTATCCCCTCGGTTAGAGCTCAGATGATGGCAGATGGTGATGGGGAGTATTCATGGCTTGCCTCATCTAGAGGCTTATCAACAAAAATCTAACACCGTCACACTTTTCAAGTTACGAACGCTACTCCATCTTATTCCGAACAGATATTCCAATGTCGGGTGACGCCTTCTCTGCTTTCACACGTGGCCTATTCGGGCGTGCAACATCGCCCACACACAAACGACGCCGCGAACCTGCCTTCACACTTGCCCTCTCTCCCTCCCCTCCTCCCCCTCGCCTTACACCCATCCCCTTCCCTTACCCCATTCCCTTTCCGTTACCTTCTCCCCTTACATTTATCCCCTACCTTTCCACTAATCCACCCCTCCTTCCCTTACCCCCTCCATGAACCGCATCCCCTTCCGTTTTCCCTTTCTCCTTTTCCCACCCCTCCCTTCACCCAAGTCTCCTTACCCCAATTTCCTACTATGGCACCAGGCTCTGCCACGACCCGTCCCGCAGCTCACTCCTGGCGAATTCAATCCTCGTGGGCTGATTGGAATGGCTGAGCTTGTAAGGAGTGCGGTGCGTAGTACTGCAGGCATCACTGCTCCAGCCGGACGATGACCGCGCCTCGCCTTGCACCCGCTGTTGCACCACCGCCAGTTGCACCGCTGCTGGAGACGTAACGATTGCCCCCTCAGCTGTGCTCCTGCGTCTCTTGCACCCCCTCTTGTTGCCTGCCTGCGTGCCACGTGCCCCTTGCCTGGAAGAACCTTCACGATTCCGGGTCGTCCTTATGATCGCTCACGTGACGCCCGCCTGCCCGAGCCCTCCTACTACCCTTCCCACCATGCCATTTCTCCCTTTTCTCGTTTCCTGCTCCCTCCGTCTTCCACCCCCCGTCAACCTCCCCCCCTCTCCCCCACTCCACACATGTCACTCCGCCGCTAACTTCTTCCTACCCTACTGCACTCACTGCCGCCACCTCCCTTACGCTTTTGGCCCTTATGGCCCGGCCACACTGCTCTTGCACCACCACACTCTCCCCTTCCCTTCCTACCCCCCTCCCTCCCCTTCCCCCCACCCCTCACCCCCAGCGTAGATGCTTACCCCCAGGCAGCGGGTGCACTGACTACTAAGGCATTATCACCTCCCTTTGAGATGCCCTCCCTCTCCGCTATGTTGCCAGCGCACTGTTTACAGGACGAAACGGCTATACCCTGTGCCTTTGGGGCAACCTGCGCGTCACAAGCATGTCAGTCTCAGGTCAGTTTCAGGTCAGTTTCAAGTCAGTTTTCAGGTGAATTTCAAGGGGGTTTCAGGTAAGTCCTAGGTGAGTCTCGAACGAGTCTCTGGACTCACTCGCGCCACTTCTGTTACGCTCTGCAGCAGCCTGTGCCCTCGGGTTAAGCTGCTAGTCACAAGCAGGTCAGTTGCAGGTCAGTCTCAAGTGAATTTCAAGTGAGTCTCAGGTCAGTCTTATGTCAATCTTAGGTGGGGTTGAGTACGTACCAAAATTGAGTCCAACCGGTCCACTATGTTGGAAACAATCGGTCCTAAGCGCCTCTGTCGTGTCGAAACACCAAGACACAAGCGAAGCAAAACACTATCGAAGCACCAGCGAGTTAACCCTCGGAGGTTGAAGTAACCGTCGGAGGTTACGCGAAAGTCGAAGGTCAGCGACCCTTGACCTAATAAGTACAGTGTCAGAACATATAGCTTACTTGTTTCTGTAGGCTATAGTGGGGTATCCCATAGGGGTACAACCCAAATTAGGGTTTCCTATTTGTACTCACTTCGTCCATAGTCATTCCCATTCTCGTTCATATTTTCTTATGGAATCAGAGCAGGTCCCTTCCTAGGGACTGTTCCTAGGGCCCACCGAAGCGCGCCCCGAGGCGCGCGTTTTTTTTTTAGCGACCCTCCGTGTCGCCCTTACCGCCGTGCTCTCGCTTAGGCCCCTCGTCGGCCCCGCTTAGGCCCCTCGTCGGCCCCGCTTAGGCCCCTCGTCGGCCCCGCTTAGGCCCCTAGTCGGCCCCGCTTAGGCCTCGTCGGCCCCACTTAGGCCCTGTCGGCCCCGCTTCGGCCTCGTCGGCCCCGCTTAGGCCCCGCTACGGCCCCGCGTCGGCCCCGCTTAGGCCCCGTCGGCCCGCCTAGGCCCCGCTACGGCCCCTCGTTGGCCCCGCCTAGACCCCGTCGGCCCGCCGTAGGCCC